ATTCGAAGTTAGCCGTGTATATTGTTTTTATAGCCTCGTTGTGCAGATATTTTGATGTAACTCTAATTCTGTACGATATTCTACTCAGTTTGTTTGTGAGGTTATCAATATGAGAAGTCCAGTTCATGTTCTCGTCTATGTGGATTCAATTCATTTAGTACAAATTGATTTTTATTGAACCAGTCCTCCTGATAACAGACTTGTGTCATCTGCGAAGATAGTTTTGAACTGTATAAACTGTTTGTATAAAGATAGAGAAGTTTAAAGCGAATAAGCTTTCTTGCACAAAAATACTACTGAATAAGTACATGCTGTGAGAACAACTAGAGCACCGTTCCTGTTGCCTCATCACTTTTTATTTCCACCTCAGTTGTAGATGAAATATTAGACACATGAACCTGTAAACCACGGCCAACAAAGTCTAGGAAATAGCTTTATTTAGAAATGGATTCCCATTGAGATAATGTAGCTGAAATTCACCTTGATGAAAAAAATCTATCACAATGTGGACACTTGAAACATTTGTCATGGGTTTTAACGTGGTTCTTGAGCAAAGCGTTGTTTATGAACTCCTTTCCACAAATAGAGCACTTCTTCTTCTCTTCATCTTGCTTGTGTTGGAGCCTGATGTGTTCACTCAAATTCTTCGCTTTGTCGAATTGTTTTTGGCAGTACTCACACTCGGAAACCTTATTTGCATTGTGTTGCTTAATATGTTTGGTATACTGAGCCCTGTCATAAAACACCTACAAAAAACACTGCTATGATTCGACCCTTCTACAAAAACTATTGTAAAAACGAGAAAATACTTCAATGAAAAGAAAATGGTATATTTTTCCAAGGGTGATTGGTTTTCCGAAAAAAACTTTTCAGCTTTCTATATTGAAACCATTATACAGAAAGTACGAAACTTTCGAAAAAGGTAAATCATCGGGAAAATCGGGAAAAAAGGCACCCAAAACAACTACTTTCAAATGCTTTGTACAGAATGAGTGCATCGTCTTTCAAAGTTATCCAAAAGGGGGATGATGAGGAGTTGAAGATAACTGTTTTCACCTAAAGTTTTGAAGTACACCTGGAGATTGATAGTTTTTCATGTAAGTTAAATTTATATCAATAGTCTTTTATCCCATTATAAATTGATAAAGTGATTTTATATTAATTCAATTTACATATATCTATGTGAAAGTAGTTGTTTTGGATGAATTTTTTCCTCCAGCTTGTAAGAAACTTATATACATGNTTCAAGGTATTATTCCAAGCTATAATATGCTTTCGTGAGTAAAAGTTCCTTCACACGTTTTCAGAATGTTTTTGACTCTATTATACTTTTCATTTTAAATGGTAGATGACTGAATATCTTCCGACTCTCGAATATTATGGAATTTTTTGTTAATGTTGAAGTTGGCTTTGGCAGAGGTATATTGGATGTTATTTTTTTTTCGCCAACATTAACAGTGCATTCAACAATTAAGTTGAATCCACAAAAATGAGACAGTTACAAAAACAAATCAAATTATGTTACCTAAACCAAAATAATGACTAATAAGCCTCTAGACAAGAAACTGATAAAGAAGCAAAATCAAAAGGATGGATGTATATCCAGAAGTTGAGTTGAATGATATAAAAACTACCTGAAGGAAAAAATAGCAGATCCCAAAAAGAACTCTATTGTAAAAGTTATCAAAACTGATGACCATTTGAAATCGTTCAAGATAGTTGCCGATTTCAAGTTCAAAGAAGACTTCTACAAACTCCTTCTGGCCTAGCAGCGTAGGTTATAGTAGGTTTGACTTCAGAAAATATAAATTCATCTCAGCAGACAACAATCAACCCAATTCTTTTATTCCTAGTGAACTAAAACATTCGACAATGTCCTGTTTCAAAAAAAAGTTATTAAATCTTTTCTAAAAGAGAATTTCTTTTATTGTCTAAAGGAATATGATGAGTGTGTGAAACAAGAATAAGATCATGCTTTTCTGTAAATCACTGATTGATCAATGCCATCGAAGCAATGTTATGCTGATGTGAACACCGTAGAACAATGATTAACAGAAAATTGCAAACTGTCAATAGCTAGACCAGCCATACTCCAAGTGTGTTCTGTGGAACCCCAGGGTCGCCACCCACTACAGTATACTTTGTTCTTTCAAATAAATGGCATAGTTTGTTAAGCCGACACAATCAGAATGGTATAATAGAGTCTACTTGAGCATAAAAGATACTAAATAACTGCGCTCTAGTCAATACGATCTTAAATTAATAAAAAGAAACTTCAGAAAATTGAGTTTAAATATCAAATGATGGTAATTACTATTCCAATTCAGGAATTCATTTAGATAAATACCTAAAAATTTAACAACTACTATCAACACTTTTTAAAGATATGTTATTTACATTGAACTGGAGATTTTCAATTTTTTTTTGGCGATTGTGAATACAAATAACATGTGTTTTATCTGTGTTGAAAAATAAATCAAGCCCATTAAAAAAACTGGATACTTGATTTAATGGTCTTCAACATTTACTTTCTAAAATTGTAGTATCAGTCTCGGCATCTGATACTATCAGACAATTAATGATAAATCATCAGCATAAGCTTTGTAACTACTGTCTTCAATTATAGAGTCAATGCTATTTACATACAGAATAAACTAAATATGACCTAATTTGGAGCCCTGTGGTACACCAGTTGTTCTCACATTCAGAGTTAAATTTGAAAGTACTATTATTTTTCATTATTTGCAATGACACAAATTGTGATGCAATTGAACCCAGGTTTGTGTTTAATACACCCTACAAAATACAAATAAAACAGAACACAGAGTATGATGCTACGAATGCAATACGCATATCTACAGACGGCTCAAAAACCAAAGAAGGTTCATGATGTGGAGTGTTCTCCAGATCACTAAGCCTAAGGATTGAGTGGGGAATGGGAAAAAATACCAGCATGGTCCAAACAGAACTGGATGGTATCCCAATCGCCACAAAAGATATAACCAGGAAAGGAATTTCTGGCAAAAACATAACAATCTGCACTGACAGCAGACAAGCCTTATTAGCCTTGAACAGACGTGTAACATCAGGGCTAGTACTAGAGTGTCACCAAGATTTAGCCAAAGCCTCGGTAGATAATAATATTATCCTGAGGTGGGTTAAAGGGTACAACAGGAGTAAAGGTAATTGCATTGCCGACTCTTTAGCTGAGGAAGCGACTGAACTAAATTTTAGGATCCAGTGGCACCTACGGCCTGATGACTTTAACAATTGTGGAACTACCTCAAATGTTACATCCATGCTCAATCCTTAAAGAGATGGGATGGAATCAAAGGATGCAATCTTGCCAGGATCACCTTGGGCGACCATGGGAAGCTGGCGCCAAAAAAATATCTAGCGATGACCAGAAAAAATCTACGCCCAACAGTAGGATTTCTGACTGGCCACTGTCAACTAAGGAAACGCCCTCATAATATAGGGCTAGTGGACACACCTCTATGCAGGATGTGTGAACAGGAAGATGACACTCTCAGGCATGTCCTATGCGAGTGCCCGGAGTTATCGTCAATAAGAGAGTGTGTGTTCAGCGAGTCTCAGCCTACACCTGCCGATATAAAGGAGATGTCGAGATGTCTAACAGTGACCTGACAACCTTCCTGGAAAGAACAGGATGGACGATGACCCAGGAGGACAACTCCTCAGGAGGATGTACAATGGGTCACATGTGGCCTATGTGCTGTGAGCTTACACTCACCATCCCCACTCAACAGATACAGAGAGATAGAACTTTGAAAGCCTATGGTAATGTAATAGGACGAAGTCATGTCCCTATTTTCAAATATAGGAATTGATGGTTTTATTGATAAAGGAAGAACTCTTTTTAGTATAAAAATTGAAATGTCATCTGGAGTTGACGATTTTTTATTTCTAAATTTGTTATTCAATTATTGAAATAATTAACTTTCTGTGAAAGAATTCGGAAATAATGTAAAGGTGTTGAAGTCACTTTCAAAATATAAGTTTGTGTTGAAGGGGATTTACCTTACCAAACCAATGGGAACGTGAAAGAAAAATTTATTAAATTTAGATACGATCGTATTTTGGTCTTCTATTATATGATCACCTATCATTAATGTAATATCATTTCGTGGTTAATTTTTTATATGTGATCTCAGATACAATTTTCCTGAAGAGCGACTTGTACTTGGTGAATTGAATATCTTGTTTTGAAAATGACGGAAATTATGAAAATAATCAAAATATTCTTACTTTACATATGAATTCTTGTACTCTCTCCACGTGAACTAACTGGTGACTTCTCAATGACCCACTGTTTCTGAACGCTTTTTCACATTTGGTGCACTGGAATGTTTTTTCAGTGTTGTGACATCTCTGATGTAACTTCACATGATGCTTGGATATAAATGATTTGCCACATTCTTCGCAACTGAATGGTTTCATGTTCAGGTGTTTGTTTAAATGATCTTTTAATTTTCCAATACTTTGTAGGGTGATATTGCAAATATTACATCTGAAAATATTAGAAATGATAATTATAACATAAACATAGCTGTTGCACATAAATTGAAAACACAAATATTTTGTATAGAAACTCATAGCAATCACCTCTCTCAAGGTTTTTTCACAGTAGATTTTGTCAAATTCTGACAAATATTGGGTTGTATGCTACAAACATTTATCAATATCAATCTATATGAAGTGATCCAAAGCAGACTGCTTGACTACTTTGAATATTTCTCATTCACATATACATAACAGATTCTAATCTATTCATGAGGATCTCATAAATGGTAACATATAGTGAGTCGGTTGTAAAGTTGACTATTTTCAGGTATAATTGAATGATACAAAAAAAGTTTACTCTATTTTTGCTGCCTTCTTTATTTGCATAGATATTGAAAATATGTTAACACTTTGCCATTGAAGCTCATACTTGTAGGTTACTTCACTATCATTTCATTTCAGGTTTATTGTTGCTTAATATAATTGTTATTTTCAACTATTCTTTTTTAATTATTCTTTTTTACTTGTTTCAGGGATTTCAAATCATTTTATATAGTAGACAATGGAAGTTCGAACTAGTGAAAGACAAATTCTTAGTTTGGAGAAATAAACTTCAGTATTGACTTTACTGATTTATTTTATTTTGGTGAATCAAATTTGAATAGCTATGTGCCAACTTATCAGTAATTCGTCTCCCAATAGAGATTTCACTCGTTAATCCAAAAAGAAAGATATCAAAGGTGGTGAAGCTACAAAAACATTTCTTATTGGATCACTTCATTACCCTGATAAAATTTCCCTTGTACAAGAGATCATACTTCTCATTCCTCCAATAGTAGAACTTTGCTGAAATCATTCAGGTGATCACCTATATAGTTTTGGAGTCAGTACAAGACAGACCTAACCAAGTCTGCTGTCTGGTACTCAATTGATTTTATTGAGGCTCCAGAGCATATGCAAAACAATCATCAGAGACAGGATGTGTTTTTACTACAAAGAAGCAGTAATGGTGTTATTTCTTCAATAATGCTCTAACCAGAGAAACTTGCACAAATGTCTTGTCAGATATAATCCAATATCCAATGTCTAGCTTTAGCCAGGGAAGTAGTTGATTTCTGACAGGCATTTTTTGCCACAACATGGAACTGATGAAGCAAGAAAAACTATTACTGACAATCCTAAACCAGGAAAAATGGTTCGGAAAATGAAAATCAAAATATTTATTTTCTCAATACACATGTATCTCTTCTCATATAAAGCTGAACTTCAATTGAAATTATAAAAGTATACAATTGAGTGAGCTTTATTTTTGAGAAATAATACTGGAGATTTATCCTAACAATAAATCATCATTTGTAACACCTCGACAGGTATTTCAATCACCAAGTGATCATATTTAAGATGAAGATTAAACTTCATTTTTGATTTTAATATGTATTTGCTAAAGTAAGTTACCTTCGTTTTTCCATGTAATGATTTTTTTTGTGAACTTTATATTCAGAAAACTGAAAGAAAACAGCATCACACATTTGACACTTGTAGGCAGTTGTGTTATTTTGCAGAATGGTTTGAACACTGTTGGCTTTGTCATTCTCTCTGTCACATTTTTCAATTTCTTTCTGGATATCCAACTCATATTTCGCACAAGCTTCCTCTTGGTCAATATCCTCATCTTTGATTAATAAACACTCAATTTCAGAAATTCTATTATCAACACTGTTCTTAATACTACAAAAGTTTTGGCTGAAATTGAAATCACCATTTTTATTCTCAGCCCTCAGTTCTTCAAGATTATTTTCCACACAAACATTTTGGTGATTAAATGGATCGCTTTCGAAATATGTGGCAAAATCACTTTCGCATGGATTCGGTTCCTGTTTTATTATTGGTTTCTCCAGTGCCATGCGAGGTACAATGTAACTTTGAAACGGTACCTCATAATCTTGCTTTACTTCTTTCTTTGGATATACAGTAACGTCAAGTGAAGAAGTTTTCGAGGTACTTGGTTGGTCCAATAAGGCTTCTGACTTGATATTTACACTTGCTAATTGAAATGTATCATTCATACTATCAAACATTTTTTTATCCATAACTTCTTCCTGAACATTCAATTGAGTTTTCTTTTATAATTGATTATGAAATAATACCCAATAGAACAAATTATTTCATCACATTTTAAAATATTCATCGTCGTTCTTTTGTGTAACTCTTGAGTCTAAATGTTTTTTTTTCCTTAGATTTCTCTAAATAATCCAAATGAATGTATTTGTATTTTTGTGTAAATTTACTATATAAACCATACACCATACATCCTTGTTTGTCTTCTTCTTTTTTCTTTTCAGAAAAGTTATCCGGAACGCGAAATTGTGCCAACCCAGAAATAAAAATTGTACTGATTACGTTCAATTGTACTACATCATGAAACATCATAATTTTCTAAGTGTTCTGAGAAATTATGATCATCTCTGAGGATCATACTAGTGGCAGGAATGCTACTTTCAGATGAAAACGTATACTAAACACGATGTTTTCTAGTAGTTCAACACACATCTTATATATTGCTTCATTTTACTCGCACAGAAAAATATTTCACATGATCTGAAAAAAAGGTCAGTGCATGTGTATTTCTCTTTTTTTGTCACTTGATATTGTTTACTATTCGGTGTTTCAAAGATGCATAAAATATATCTGGTGTAATCATTTTAAGACCCCTTTTCTACTTAATAGCTATATTTTGTCAGAAACCCTTGATTAACTGCACTCTTGTTGAAGAAATAATTAAGAGATCCAATAAATTTCAGCATTTCATTCACAGAAGTGCTGAGTACAACTCAAGTGACGGAGCTTGATATAATCAAGTTGGTACTTCAATTCTCAATTTTGTTCACATTTGGGAATACACTGATATTAGGCGAAAGATTTCGATTCTTGTACTATGTACATGTGTACAAAGATTGGTTAATCTTCTTTCTCTAAACCATAGTTTAGACAAAGGAGTTTAGACAAAAGCGAATCGGTAAAAAATTAGGGTTTCTATTCATCTGAGTGCGTTATAGAGTGAAATATGGAATTCAACTGCATACGTTCTACCAGACAAAAATAGTTGATGAAACAATAGAAAATTGTTTTATAATTATTGAAATTGGAATGAATTTACAAACCGAATTCAATCAAAACAAACATGAATGGAAATTTTTCCTTTACCTTTCACAGTTTTACAGTAACTAAGAAATTCGAATAGAAAATCAAATTGATACAAACTTTTTTTCACTTGACGTCTTACAAAAGATACGCTATCGGATAAGAATTTCAATTGAAATTCATATATTTTTCCATGTTGGTTCATCTGTGTATTTGTCATTAGTGTCAGTTGTCATTTGTAGTTGATACTTATATTCTCCATTCTTGAGTTTCATTTGCTCTTTTCATTGTATTCATTTTCCATTTATATTTTTAGTATTCAGCTGAGGTTATGGTGTGAACAATTAATATGAAAACTGATACTAATGAAAAATTCACAGATTCACCAACTGAAAAAATCTATATGTTCCAAATGAAATATTATCCGACATCGTTCATTTAGTCAATGAGTCGTTAAATTCACTATCGTTGATAAATCTTAGCAGGTATCATTTCAAATCAGATTCGATGATATATCCACTTTGGCTAGCACTTTTATGTTGGATAAGTACTGTATAATATATCATATATGTTAATTTAAAGGAACCCAATTATATTTTCTGTTGTCTTTTACACACTGAAAAACTATGAATCAATAATAGCGAAGAACGAAAACATTTCAAATATCCTCTACTAATCTGAGGAAATCTAAAAACTCTTCCCACATCAGAACAAACACAATATCTCCCCTTAACAAACGAAGAAGGTGGCATCGCCATTATAGCTTTTTGGAAATCTATCAGTTAAGATCGCTTTTGATCTGGTCACAGAATACCTTACAGATGAGAAAGTCAGCACTGAACAGAAACTATGAATCTTTGATATTTTTGAGGGCATTATTGTCAACTTAAAATTTTTGTAAAATTGTTATTGAATGTAATTATGGTGAAATACTGATAGTTTGGTCAAAATGTTGTCCTATCAACCTGCTGAGATAACGTGATAATTTTCTGACAACAAATATATCCCAGACGTTTCAAATACTTTGAATTTACCGCTAAAATGACATTAAACAACTTCAACACAGAACATAGATTACAGAAACTTGACCCCTCAACTACAAAGTCATCACAGAAGAGTGCCTCTTTAATAAAATATTTTGTTACCCGGCGTGCATTATCTGATTTCCGTTGGCTCTTAAGAGCCTAATTTCAAATGTCTAATTAATTTACAGTACTTTGATTCTACTGCACTCGGTCTTATAATTAAAATAAACTACAACCTGTAATTTACGTATTTCAATCCAGTATTGCGGCATGGAAATTGTTTATGTGGAAACCTTACAATAAGTCCCTGTGCAATGCATTGTTCTCGTATACTCTCCTTATAATTTGTAGTGCGTTGTTTGTACGCCCCTCTTTACCGGATCTAAGTAAAGACATTTTCCAATACATCTGTGATAGATTTTTATCAAATATAGGCCTAGTCAATCAGAAATTATGTACCATTTCACAATGAAATTCACTTGATTCATCAAATAACATCTAATGAATATTAAATATTTTGACTGAATTTATTAGTTATCGATTTGTTTTGTTCAACGTTTTCTTCAAATATCATTACTGTGTTCATTGTTGATTTTCTTTGTGACAATTTCTTTGAAGCTGACACCTACAGTTTCTTGTTTTCATTGATTGTTTTATTATTTCCTTAGAATTATATCCACTGCCTTTTCCCGGTTTATACTCATCACATAAACCCCTTTCCTCGTTGGGATGAAGTTGGTTAATCTTTTTATATTGCTGTAAATGAGGGAGCAAATTATGACATTCAAGACAATAACTAATGAATGTACCATAATAGCCTTCTCTATCGGATACGTAGATCTCCCCTTCTTCTTTGCCAAGTGCAAAATCTCGTCGGCGTATTCGAAAAATTTGTCGTCTTCGTTGACATAATTCATCTTGGTTACGTACTGATCAATTTCTTTTTCTTCGATTTTTAACGCCTTTTCTTCATCCTGTTGAGGAACATAATATTGCAATTATATTTTTCAGATAATAATACCTATGTAGGACTTGTGCAGGGGAGTATGCAAGATTTTTTGTATCTAGATACTGTTTTTATACAATGAATGGAGAAAATGGAAGAATAGACACGTGTCATCAATTTGTGTATACAAAAGTCAACAAGAAAAATGAAAATTTATACTTTCTATTATACTTTTCATGTTTTTTACCAAAAGTGGTAAAAAACATAGAAAGTAGCATTTCTCATTTTTCATGATGATCTCCTACCACGTAGGAGATCAATCAATCAATTTATCAAAAGTCAACAAAGTAATGAAAATGAAAGAAAAGCGACTGCTAGGAACAACCCAACCTTTCAATGAAGAATTGCTTTCATTTTTGAAATTCACTAAAAAGTAACTACATATTATGATTTTGGATCAATTTCATGAAATTCCTTGGCATAACAATAATTATTTTGTGAACACATTATATTTTATATTTCATTCTCAAACTCCGCTATATGGTCATTTAAATAGTCAAGTATGCAGAACATGAGATATGCAGTTAGAGCCATTCCCAATTTGAGGTTATAAAATTCATAATCACGATATAAAATTCACTTTCTGTAATATATGAAATACACACATTAGTTATGATTGAGAAATAGGCAGATTCAGACCTTAGAGAGAACTCATGACGAGACCTGGAGAGTAGGTAAATTGAGGCTCCGGTGTCAAGTCACATCAAATTCTTGAAAATGGCTCCAAAATGGGAGCCGAAACGTCGAACATAAAACTCCAGACGCTGTTCAACCCAAACGGCAACATATTGAAAATCTGAATATTCCTTTTTTTCTAGCGTTATTTGACAACGTAGCTCAAATCCAAAAACACATTTACAAAGATACTTTTTTTCAGCTACACGTTTTCATGTTCAGATTTATTATCCGAAGTTTCTCCTTCTGACAATCATCAACTTTTTCTTCTATTATGAGAATCATATTGTTTTTTATACAGAAACCATGCTCTTTTGAAACCACAGCTATTAAAAAAAAAACTTCATCTGAGATGGTCATGACTCCATCAAAAAATTCTGTTTAAGGAACACAGCCGAGTGTTTGTCCAAAATTCCGATTAATGTTCTATCCAGCTGTTGTCTTTCCGAATATAATTCAAAATAAATTTGTGCTGTTTTCGTACTATTCCTATCAAATTTATGATAAAGTTTCAACATATCTCGTTTTTCTTCATTTGAGAATGAGGACATTTCGACTGAAGTATTTGTGCAAACATGATGTTTGATGAGATGTGACAACTATTGTTCATTAAACTAAATTTTTCGATGGAGTCGTGACCATCTCAGATGAAGTTTTTTTAATAGCTGTGGTTTCAGAAGAGCAAATCATAAAAAATTATACATAAATGAAATCAGAATGAGAAGCACTATTTTTCTGTATAAAAAACAATATGATACCCATAGTAGAAAAAAAGTTGATAATGATTGCCAGAAGACGAAACGTCGGATGGTAAAACTGAACATGAAAACGTGTAGCTGAAAAAAAGTTTCAATGAAAACTTGTTTTTGGTTTTGAGCTATGTTGTCAAATAACGTTATAAAAAAATTAAAACGAAAATTCCGATTTTTAGTTTTTTTCGGATATTTCCGGAAATATTTGAACTATTCCAAGTTTCAAATCAGAATTTTGTTAAGCACAAAAAAATGCAGCTTTGCCCCAATTTAAGCTTCGAAGTATCTTCTGTAGTTGTAGTTGATGATCTTGTCATCTTGGCAAGGTCCACGTCGGGAGGGGTAGCTTGTAATATCCTGAGTGAGCAGATGTCTGTCAACCTCAGCAAAACTGTGATAATCCCCTTCACCAGAAGGAGAAAATTGGACGATCTAACGTCAGTTTTCCTCAATGGTGAGGCCATTCCATTTGGAACGGAGGTGAAATATCTTGGCATTGTCTTTGATGAAAAACTCACCTGAAACGCTCACTTGGAAAAAGTTTTACACAAAGTCAGACTATCCCTGTGGACATGTCGAAGAATTTGTGGTAAAACCACACCGTCAGCGGCCATGGAGATCCTTCTAGATATACCTGCTCTCCACATTTTCTGGAGAGAGAGGCTAAATGGACTGCATATAGACTTGTGCACATTGCCAATTGCACAAATAAATTTAATGCAGAGTGCAACATACTGTTGGTTGACACTACGGAAGTCTCAGCATTCTGGAAATGACCTCTGACTTTATGCCTCCAATTGTCAACTGCGAAATGCCTTAGTATGTACTGTTCCCGAGTAGAAAGGACTGGATCCTCCGGGAGAAGGAAATATTGAGAGTAGATAGTTGTTGGTTCAGTGCAGGTTTTTTCACTCGCAGATCCAGGATAGAGATATCAAGCTGCCTAGGAACCTATGCGACTGTATTTCAAGCGAAAATTCACGCTATTGAATTGTGTGCGAAGAGATGGGAAGAATCCAACCTCATACACAAGTCAATAAAAATATTCTTGGACTTCAAGCGGCGTTGGAAGCTCTTGGCTCCTACCGAGCAACGTCTAAATTGGTAGCAAATTGCCAAAAACGACTCTCCTCGATAGAAAGACTTAACAGACTGTCTCTGGTCTGGATTCCTGGTCATACTGGCCTGGAAGGCAATGAGGCTGCTGACTTCCTTGCAAAGGAGGGTTCTGCAAGCAGTTTCATCGGACCAGAACCTGTCATTGGTATCGCTCTGAGCTTTGCCAAACAAAGATTGAACACCTGGATGGCACGAAGATTTATGGACTTCTGGCACAATCTTCCAGGATTGGCTAACTCCAAGGCATCTATTCACGGTTCGAAGCTTGATACCAAACAGTTTTTGGACTACAGTAGGGATGCACTACGATGTCTAACAGGCCTTCTTACAGATCACTGTCATTTGAATCATCATATGCGGAGACTCGGACTGTCGGGAGACAGTGTGTGTCGCCTCTGTTTGGAAAATGATAAAACAGTAGAGCACTTCCCTGCTGCGGACCGAATCGGGTTTTGAGAGTTCGACAGAGCCGTACTCTTACCATCTGACCTGAAAGATAACTCACCACACAAACTAATCGGCTTCATCAAGAAGTACGGTTTATTTGGTCAAGCGTGAATAGGTGCGAGCCTCAATAAAACCTTGCGGGTTGCGGCGCAGGGTCGAATAAGCCCACTCTCTTTGGACCTAACCTAACCCAAATTATAACAGCACAAATGAATCTCGAAGGTATCTAAGTATAATGAAACATCAATAAACTGAGTGTCTACTACCTCTTTCTAAACTTTCTACAATTTTCCAGCAGCTTGACTGCATTAACTTTTTTCGATTTTACATCTAGAGTGGTAGCTCTTCATTAATTTCAATTTCATATGTAAAGTGTAGGTATTCGTATATTCAAGAACCTAGGTGTCTGTGTCTCTTGACAAAAATGAATAGTTTGAATCATCTTCTGAAGACACCTATTTCGTAGGAGAAACCTAGTTCTAGGAACGTGTCACAGTTCTGATATATGAGAGCAGTGTTTTTGTTGAAACAAATCTATGTATCAGAAAACACGTTTTCAAAATATCTAACAAGAATTCACATACCATTTGTTCCAATAACTCTTTTCTGTACTTCAGAATTTTTTCCCAATATTCCTTTCTCTTAGTTTCTTCATAATTTTTGATGATTTCATCTGTTTTGTACCTATTCAACATTTCCCATTTTCTTATTTCCTCTTCCTTGGCTTGTGCAGAAGCTTCCCGTTCAATAAAGTGCTTTCTGTCCTCAATTCTTTCTTCTTTCATTCTTCGATCGAAATCTGCTCTTGCCTTGACTTTTGCTTCTTCACTATAGTCAAAAAAAGGGTTCGTTAAATATACGGTGCGTGAAAAAAAATCAGAGCATTGAATTATATTTTTTCAGGTATTTTTCCTTTTCATTATTATAAGGTAGGTACCTGTTTTTCCAACAAAATCCTTGAAGTTTCGGAAATGGAAATTATAAATATTTTTATCTATTTTTTTTATTTATTAGCAGAAGTACATTTTTTATGGCCAATAATGTGAGAATTAAATTCGTGAATATACTTCATAAATGTCGGAGAACATTTTGAATATATTTTGAATAAACTTGAGTGAGTTTTGACTACATTTTTTCTATCATGATATTCAGCATTTATTTGCAGATTTTTGAAACGAATACAAAACTGATAACTACTCTGGAATTTACAAAAATAAACCAGTGTGAGTGTCACTATTTTTCGGGTTTGAAGGCCGTTGAATTTTGGAATTTCTTCCTGACGTTTCGTTGGCTAGCTTCTTCAGAGGTTCATACATCTTGACTAATCTACGTTGACTGGATATTATGGCTGCGTAAGGCGTATTTATGTTGACTCTAGTTTGGTGTGCCTGGACCTGGGTTAGGCAAATTGTCAAAACATTCGTCGACCCTTTTCTACCTGGCGTCATGCAGTTTTATTTTCTTGAACTTCTTAGAAAATGATTCCATATTCGGTTGAGGTTCATAGCTGCTCGTTTTCTGTTGGAGTTATCCGTGAGTTTATGGATCTCTATTGCCTTCCGTAAAGGAAACCGCGGTAGGAAGTCACTTTTTTGTCTTTTGCATTTTTAATGTCTTTTTTTTTAATTATCAATGATAAAAGAAATTTTCTTTTTTTCGCCAACATCATCCATAGAGGAAATATAACAATTCTTATGGAAAAGATAAAGTGTGACTTTTAACCCCGTGCTGAGGATGGTTAAATCAGTATCTGGGGCAGGTAGTCACATAGTTAATCGAGGGGTATGAAAAATATTTTAATGAATATTTTCATTGAAAGTGGAATAATATACATAACTAATTGAATCTAAGAAGAGAAAACAGTGTTTCATTCGTAGGAAAAAACATATTTGCTCCAAATCTGGTAACTTTAGCTTTCATCTAGTAACTTCAATAACAAAAAAATAAGTCCACCAGGCCGCAATGTTTGTAAACTAAAAATACCCAACCTAACGAAATAATATTTGATCAGTTTAAAAGTCAGTAAATATTCGAAATCACAATTATGGCAAATGTAACCTGGTAGTGTCTGGGGTATTATCATTGGAAAGCGTCAGTAGTGGTCTGTCTGTGACGGACAGTGGTATAAAATCGTCCTAAAGTATGTCTTGATTGAATGGACAACTTCTACACTATTCGAACCATGCAATAATATTTGATGGAGTTGCTGCTGATGTAGGATGAGCCTTTGAAATATTATTTTGAATTCCATATATCGTCAATTGTTTTCCTCGATGATTCACCATTCACTGATCCATTGCGTTGTTGATATATTTTTTCAAAGGTCCTTAAACTGACCTACCCAAAGGTTGAAGGCGATGAGTACAATGTGGTGGCAGTACTATGCCATTTTTTTCGCAAAGTTCAGTCCTTCAATGGACAAGTGTTTGTCGAATATCCTTGGGAGACAAACCGAAAAAAATACTTGAAGCCATAAGTATGTATTTTTCCAATTCTCCCTTCCGTTTGTCGGTGAAGATTTGCGTATACCTTCGATAACCAATTTTTATTGATGGTATTGATAACACCGTGTTGATTATCTCCTCGACAGTGAATTTTTTACAAAATCGTGTCAGAGTGCGATAATAAATAATCCCAAAATACTTCGCCTTTTACACAGCACATAGCGTGTAACACAAGTCGATCAGACTTTCTCATATGATGCCATGTCATTTCTATGATTTGCTTTAAAACAAACACAATTGTGTGTAGCAGAAACTCAAAAAACCAACAAAAAATTCAGCACACATATATGGTGTACACATGTGACTACCAGCCCCGTCAAGTTGAGACAACCAGACCCAAAACACATTTCAGAACATAACCCCCTGAAATAACTCTAAATCAATATTCATCCATAAAACGAATAGTGATATTATGCATCGAATAGTGATATTATGACTACAGATGCCACATCAAAAATGAATTAAACAATATATATCTACGGAAAATTCTAGTATAGATACTTACGAGACTCGACGCAAATGAACAAAAATTCACTTTTGGGAAAAAGTTGGGAAATTTTGGGCCAATAAGATATAAAAAAATAATGGTAAAAAAATTAATATAAAAAAATGAGAGAAAAGGTTGGGATCTCCCAATATGCATAACTTGAAGAGAATTCTGAGTTGTTTGAAATCTTCAAAAAAGTTTAATTTCTCCCAAGTAAGAAAACACTCCTGAACAGTCCACAAATTTTGAAGTGACAATTTTACAAAATTCCCATCTTTTCGCTGTTTTTTCGACTTGGAAAAGTTGGGAAATTTCGGGCCGTGAAGATAGAAAAAATAATAGTAGAAAACAATAAGCACGATATTATTTAAGTGTTTGTTGTTTCCTTACACTTGTATTGAATATTCCTATGGTGGATTTGGTGGACGACCAAGGACCTTGGTCCAAAGTAGAATAATTCCCATTATTATTTTTATAATTACCAAAATTAATTTTTGTTTGTGCATACCCTAACGGGCATAATCATTCAGCCAATCTTTGCATAGCTAAGTGAGAAAATTAATATATTATAGTAGTAACTAATCCCTTGGTTTTCATTTCTTCGAAAGTTGGGAAATTTTGCTGGGGGGGTTGGAACATTTGGATTCCCTCCCCCCCTGGTTTTTCTTTTCGCTACGGCCCTGCACGCACTCATAGAAAGGAAACCACAGGAGTCTGTTTGGAGATACGAAACTCATCTCTCCCACCCAGGGGTATCATAGCCGACTGGCAAACCGGGAGGCAAACCAAAAAAATAGTGACAATGAAAACTTCGTCCGCGAAAGTATTAATCATTTTGGCAAACCAGTGTTAGACCTAATTGAAAAACTTATCAAACGGCGACGAGTGACGCAACACTCAAAAAGTATTGAAAATGATGCATTTTTATGCGAACATTGCCTGACTTTTCAAAAGTTAAAAGGGGAGGGGACATATTACGTCCACACTGTATATAAAAAAATAATTTACATGGCATCCCTTTCGGCAATTGCTGCTTTCATTCTTTCTTCATCACCTTCATGTCTTGCTTTTTCTTCCGCAACGACTAATTTCGCCACAGCATCTCTCCTGGCTACACGTTCCTCTTGCAACTGAAAAATAATATCAATAATTGTAAAAAGAAACGTTTGCTGTAAAAGTATACACAAATGGTTGAATTTGAAAAATATTCTTCAATGTTCCACGTTAATCTAATTCTAGAAAAGTCTAGAAAACACATGAAGGAAAAGCAGCTCCCTTATGATCTTTACTGAACATTCGTATTAAATATAACCCCGGAAAAAATTTTCTTCACAGAGGTAAACAGGTGAACAATTCATTCGAAATAACCATCTAGAGCAGATGATTAACATAAGATAAAAAGTTTTAATTGTTCACTTGAATTAGAAATATGAGAAAATAGACAAAATGTTCCTTAAAATCTTACCTCTTTTTCTCTAGCTTTTTTCATACAGTCTATACGATGTTTAGCTTCTTGGTATATAGCAACTACATCATCTAATTCTTTCTCTTCTTTCATAATTTGCGTTCTTTTTTCTTCCTCCAATTTCAATAACTTTTTATTGTCTCTATTAAGCAGAACTTTGTCCTCAAGTTTCTACGAAATTGAAGGTAATTCATTACTTTTCTCAACAAAAGTTGCAACATTTTCAAAAAATATAGAAAACCAAACTCATACAATATTCATTATAGATGACATTATTTGATGACTATAACTTGGAACCTCTGGCGTAAAATGAATCTATTGAAAACACCAAGTTAGCATCATCAGGAGGGGACTAAAAGTTTTAGTAATTTCCTAATGATAGATAAATGCGAGACTGTTCCTAACAACTATCAATTAAAAACCCAATAACCTAATTAGAAAAAAAAACAAAGCCAAAATCATATTTTTCAGTCTGAGAAATAGATTATATTGGAACACAATAGATAGAGGGTAAGATAGGGTAGGACAGGATAGGATAGGGTAGGGTATGATAGGTTAGAGTAGGGTAGGGAAGCTAGGGATAAACTGTTTGCCAATCCCAACGGGTCTAGATGTGTTCAAGTGACTTGGCACATTTGATTCCAACAAGAGCGGTACATATCAGAATTACGCCACGGAATGTGGCTGCTCATCGTTTTGAGGTTCAACTCAGTACACCTCGAACTTCACTGTTTGAGAACTCTTTCATCTGGAGAACTGCGTGTATGTGGAATAAACTTCCTGAGAACGTTTTTCCAAATGACTGAATATACTTTCAAAAATCTTTCTCATCTTAATTATATAGTTAATTTTCAACAAACCTCCAGTGAATTCTCCCAGTTTCGTATCATCGACTTGGAACCTTCATCTAAATATTTCTTTTTGTTCTCCTCCTTTTCTATTGCTTCTTGAATAAGTTTCTTCCTGTCTAAATGCTTGTTGATTTTTCCCCATTCTTTCGAAGTAATGTGTAAAGCGTGGGCTCTATCTGATATTTTGGTGTTGGACAAAGTTTGCCCTGGAAATAAATACCATCTTGATTCCATTACTCGAAAATTCCTTAAATAACTAAAAAGTAATAAGACAAATGTTCTTAAAATGTCAGTATGAGAACAGTCAGATTCTATTCGATAATCGATAGGCGCGTTTCTTGGCAACAGGTTGTTTGAAAATCTACAGGGTACAAAATGTACAGTGTGTTAGGTTAGACGTTTCTGGAAAATGCAGCGATCAACATTATTTTCAGCATTCGGGCGTTGCAACTTCCACCAAAAAGTCCTCGCAAGTTTTTTTTTAATAGAATACCCCGTATATTACCAAATTTTTGAAATTGCTATTTTATTATAATACTTTTTTTGTTAATAAGGAATATTACAAGAAGAATTGCACTAAC